AAAAGTTAAGACTTCGCTGGTGTAGATTCACTGTAAATTTTGTGCAGTAAAAAGAAAACTATGTCCATTGAAACCTACAACATTGAATACAATAAGGCAGTAGATAGCTTCCATGCAATCCATTACAATAATCCGAAATGTTGCCGTCGCGGGAGTAATTTTCTCCCGCAAATATTTTGCCTCAAAATATAAATAAGAGACTATTTTTTTTTTATTTATTTACATTTCTAACCTGAACACAAATAATGTAGCTATGCTAGATATAAATTAATCTAAAAAAGTAACGAATTGTATTGGATATCTTTCGTGTATGTCTACAACGAACATTATAAATTGACTGGTGACGTTAGCCTGGGAGTTCAAAATTACTGCTACATTGCGAAAAATTTCAGCTCATTGTCGCTAGTATGTAGCGGTAATGACAATTTTGAAAATGTAGAGGTAATGATAAGCTCCAGGTAGCCTAATGGTAGGGCGCTCGCGAGGAACCGGATCATTCTCTATCCAGAGTCGCTCCCACATACACCTCCGTCAACGCTTGTTATACAAGATTCTTTGAAAATTTGTAAAAGCTGAAAAATTGTTTTAATTATTGTTTTTAATTATATTTCTTATCGGTAAACAGGATTTATATCAATCTATTACCCCTTAAAAGGATTTTCAATAACTTCTCCGCAAAATAGTTCCCTAAAAACTTGCTATAAAATAAATCGTTTTGAGGGATGATAGATTTACAGGAAATGATAAATTATCATTTTTATGAGGTGTTGGTAGCGTAGCGGCAGACAACTCTGGATAGAGAATGGGTACCGGGTTCGATTCTCTTTCCCGTGTAAACATACATACAAATGTACATGTAGTAACTGTTCTTTTGCCAAGCGCCCGGCGCCTTGAAAACTGAGTTACCATGTCACGGTAGGCGTTGGCACAATAAAGAACCAATACTGTTCAATAATCCTGAGTGTCGAGTAAAGGTCTAAATTTGAAGCCCATCGCCGGTATATGCATATATGGTGACCTCTCCTACAAATGAAAAATTCTCGCAAGGGACGTAAAACAACAAACTGAAGCAAACAATCAATCAAAGACATTATAAAACAAATTGTCCGCCATGTTACTGACCTTGATAAATTTATTTTGGGACAGCCTATGAGAATTCGGGAGCGGATTTTGTAATTAAATATAGGATTAATAGAATTCCTCTTTTAATAATTATAATAATTCAAAATATGAAAATATTTATACTTCAATATAAAAATTTCCATCGCAATTGCATTTATCTATTACATTTCTAAAAGTCAAATACTGTATTGATTCGTTGAATACTGTGAGTAAATAAAATAATTTCACAGGTGTTATTAAATTTCACACTTGAAAATGAAAAAAAAAAAAATTTCAAACAGAATAAAAAAAAAAGTTTTATTTCAAACTGTTAAAATAACCGGAGCTACATGTACTTTACATTTCTATAATTGAGTTATCTCTATTTACTTTCACTAAACAAGTTACTGTAACGTTTGATACGGCAATCAAACAAGCACAGATGTATGTCAAATGTACGTGACTAGTATAGGACATACTATGAGATTTTTTTTTGTTTAGTTCGTGGTCATAAATTATATTAGTTTATACATTTTGTATATTACGTAGCCGACGGTAGGTATGGAACAGATTCGACATTTGGTCTATTCTAGCTAACTCCACGTGCAGAATACCTGGGGCAACATTCTTTATACATTGATGTACACAAAATATATTCCATAAACTTTAATAAATGTTTATTGCAATAAATTTTATGCTATAGACAGCAGTTAGTGATGTATACATCATGAAGTTCTGAGACTTTGATTTTAAAATGATTTAGTTGTATGGTGCTAAATTCAAAAGAAACGTCTTTAGAAAACAAAGTTTCAATACTATATACAGGATTATTTTCGCCCCTTCACACCTGCAAACAATTTTGCCCCGTTTAAAAATCGCCCATTCGCAGTTCAGTTTAAGAAATTAAACTGTGTTCTTTGAATTCGCCCAGCCTGTGAGTAGGGCGAAAGGGTAGAAAAAAACGGGGGGAGAAAATTTCCCTGTATACTACATTATTTAATAGTTGTATTGATTTATTACAAAAAATTATTTTTCTCTTTTATTCCAAACTCTCTGATTGGCTCAAACTTGATAACACGATCAAGTAAATAACAGCATATAAACTTGTGTTCCTATTTAAAGATTCTGAAACGCACACAGACTTGATGTTTCTACTTCTATAAAACGACAATAGTGCTTACTTTCACAATAGCTAATGACTTAATTATATATATATATATATATATATATATATATATATATATATATATATATATATATATATATATATATATATATATATATATATATATAATCCAAATGGTATGTGAAATAAATCCACAGAAGTATTCAAATAATAAAAAAAACAAAAAGCCGATTTAAACTCTACCGGTTTCAGCCACCGTACAAATGCACAGTACCATACGGCAGGAGTGGTGTGCGGAGAAACTCCGTTTTCCTCCTCTCGTCCAGAATATTCATCTGCGATATATTTTGTGACCAATTAAAAAACAAACAAGGTGTGATGCCTCCCTATAAGGCCGGTTTACACTATGCATCTTGACACATGCATCTTGGATGCATGAATCTAAATTCAAAGTGTAAATAGCCCCTTGTGTTAAATTTGATAGGTGCTGCATCTTGACACATGGAATAGAACTTGTTCTATTCCTTGTGTCAAGATGCATGGAATTGACCAATTAAAAGAAAGGTCAGAGTTGAGATTGGTTTATAGGCTTATTTTCCTCCATATTGTTGCAAAAATCGCATCCGAAAAGAATCAAAACGAAAAAAATACTGATTAAAATACAATAAGATAAAGTAAGTTGATTATTATCATAAAGAGGAGTTTTCTTTGGAATATATATTAAATTATATCTTCCAAGAATTACCATAAAAAGAAAATTAGGAATGATTCGCTCAGCTTATATAAATCTAGAAAGGAAATATGAAGGCTTTGTTATTTTTTAAGAGGATAAAACTTCATATTTATAAAGTATTCTGAAGATGCATGTGTCAAGACACAGTCTAAATAACAACGCATGTGTCAAGAAGCATAGTGTAACCCGGCAACTCGTAGCGAAGACTAAAGTTTCTCAAATGCAAGTCTAACTCCAACTCTATTGGTCTTGTCACAAGGAAACCCAAAGGAAGGACTTGTCACAAGGAATATACATATGAAAATAAAGCCCTAGCTGTTCCACAGTTATGGCCAAGGTTAAAGTTTTTCAAAAGTAGGTCAAACTCAAAGGTCAAAGGGGAAAATCGTTGGTACCCAAGGGAAGGTCTTGTCACAAGGAATACACATGTGAAGTATGAAAACCGTAGCACCCAATCATTCAAAAGTTATGGCCAAGGTTAATCATAGTATATTTGGAAAGGTCTTGTCAGGTAATGTACGTATGAAATATGAAAGCCCTGTCTCTTCTCATTTAAAAGTTTAGACCAAGGTAAAAGTAATGTTGTTTTTTTTTTTTTTTTTTTTTTGAAAATTAGGTCAAACGTCAAAGTCATGAGGTCAAAAGTCAGAGTATATTTGGAAAGGTCTTGTCACAGATAATGTACATGTGAAATATGAAAGCTCTATGTTTTCTTGGCCAAAATCTATGACCAAGGTTAAAGTTTTTGTGACAGACTGACTTATGAATGAGAATTAAGGTAGAACAAAATACCTAGGACGCAAATTCAATTTTTTTGAAATTTTGTTCCAAGATACAAAATCTTTCTTTATATGTAATATTCAAATAGAATTCAAATTCAAATAGAATTGGTTATGAGGGAAAATAGGACACTGACATTCATATTTGACATATGCATTACCTGTGACAAGACAATTCCGAACATGCTATGATTTTTGACCTCGTGATCTTGAGGTTAGACCTAATTTTCAAATTAAAAAAAAATTGGTGATAATTTTAAATGAGAAGAAATGGCGTTCATATTTGACAAATGTATTACGTATGACAAGAAGTTTTCGAATATGCAATGTTTTTTGACCCAGTAACCTTGACCTTCAAGTTTGACCTAATTTTCAAAAATTTTATCATTGCTGACAACTTCTGAAGGAGAGTGGATAGGGCATTCATAACTGACATGTGCATTACCTGCGACAAGAAGTTTCCAAATATGCTGATTTGTAACTCTTTGATCAAATTTTCAAATGATAACTTTTGAATGGGGGAAGATAGGACATTTATAATTGACAAATACATTACCTGTTTCAGGGCCTTTTTGAATGTACTCTGGTTTTTGACACTGACCTTCACCTTCAATTTTAACCTATTTTTTAATGAAAGAAAACGGGGCTTTCATATTTTACGAGTACATTACCTACGACAACACCTTTCAGAAAGGTAAATAATTTTTGACTCATGATTTTGACCTAGAAGTTTGACCTACTTATAAAAAAAAGATTAACTTTAGCATAACTTTTGCTTCGGAAGAAACCGAGCTTTCATATATATATATATATATATATATATATATATATATATATATATATATATATATATATATATATATATATATATATATATATATATATATATATATATATTCAAATGTGCATTATTTGAGGCAATACCTTTCGGGTTGTTTTCTGATATTTGATCTCATGACCTTGAAGTTTGGTGCAGTTTTGAGAAGCTTTAATCTTGGCCATAACTTTTATCTTATTCAATAATTTGTCTTTTTTTTATGATGAACAGACAAGACAATACACACAAATAAGACAATTACAATATGCCATTAATAATAGCATCCCAACCACTAAGACACCAAAAGCAGGGGAGCATAATTCTTTGAATTTGCTTGTTACTTATTTCTCATTCTTCAAAAGGCTAAATGTAAAAAAAAGATATCTTTTGCAAGATAACAATATTAAAACCAATTTAATAAGAATATACAATAATCATCTCATATATATATTCATGTAAGAATGATTGCTCCATGCCTAATCTAAATATTAGGGTATTGTTTATATACATTTCTTATTGAAAGAAATAATATCTAATAAAGCCTTTTCTATACATTACATTGACTTTATTAAATTAACAAGAGGTGATAGAAACTAAGAGAAATATTGAGGTATAAGCGTGAGACAGTTTGGGATGGTGACGACTTGTCTTCGTCTTCTTTGACTTAAAACCATTTTCCATAGAATCATACGGATGAAGATAATTCATGCCAATTTCACCATTCCCAAAGAATCCAAACAACGGTGTCTGTGGAAATATCTTCCTAAATATAGAGGATTCCACGTTTTCTTTGCCATGGTGATATGATTTTCCTCTGCCTAGGCATGCAAACATAAAAGCAAAGCTTTTCTCTGTGGGCAGATTGCAAGCCTTCAGTTTCAGAAGTTCTTTTTCTATTTCCTTTTCACTATCTGTGTCTTCCTTGACAACAACAGAGGCCACCTGTACATTTGGTCCACATAAGGCAATACATCGAACCTGTGAATCTGACGACCTGTAAAAGTATGTAAAGAACAGTAACTCTTAAAAGGGTTGACATTCATTTTGCTTTCGCAGTAGTCTTCACTTTGTCAATGATACACAGTTGCTCCATAATACAACAATCATCTAAAACATTTTACAGCAGAGAGGGTCAGAAGTCAAATATTTTGTGTATAAAATAACTTTACTTTGCTTTTTAGAATCAAATTTAATATAGACTCTTCAATGGACTGAAATTGTTAGATCTAACAGAGGTAAACTTTAGTTCTGTCTAACAGTAGAATGGTACTAAGAGGACTAATACCACCCCCACCTCTCGCTCCTTATGGGGCAACATTACAAAAAGGACATTTTTAATCAGCTTAAAAAGAACTCTTTCAACTACCTAACAATTATACTGCACATTCCTATGGCCTGAATCTTTCTGAATTGTAACTGGTTGCAGGTTGTAAAGCTCTGGTCATGAGCAAGCTTTTTGTTCATTAAAGCAGAAAATTTGGCCTTTATTAATATATATGAATTAAAATATATACATATATATATATCCCTCATGCATAGCTCTGATCCTTTGACATATTTGGCTCCAGTCTTTGGCACCTTTTTTCAGCTCTTCCAAGTCTTTCTTATTTAAATATTTTGGATTTCCAACGTTTCAGCTTGAGCATCAATGAAGAGACATAATTTGCCAAAATGCGCAACTGGTGCATCAAAATTGGTACCGTATATGATTTACAAATATACTTTGATTAAAAACCCATTTTTTTAATAGAACATGCACTTACTCATCTAGTCCACATTCTGAGAGGGGTGTCACAATATGGTCCACATATCCCCCAACCACAGGACAGCCATTATAATAGTCCAGCAGTCCCAACTGAATCTCTTGAGGACAGAAGTGAAGGTCAGAGAAAAACAGGATGGCCTTCACCTCCTGGTCATATGGTACAGTCGTCACTTCTTCCACATTAAATAGGTCAGGAATTTCTGGAGTCATGGGGGGAATATGTTTATTAAGGTCTATGAAGAAATCATAAATTTCAACACCTGGTAACCTTGGAATGGCCAAATAAGTCATTGCCATCACTGAATGTTCAATTTCTACTGTTTTATTTACACTACTTCCTGAAATAAAAAAAATTAAAAATTAGACTTCTTACTGATTTATATTTTATACACCCTATAACTGTCAATTAAGAGAAAGGGTTTCAAATGCTGTTTTTAAATTAAAAAATAAATAAATTTGACGTCTAGAACTAAGAGCATATAACTTACGTGTATATATGCTTATGTATTATAAAATTATGTACCAATAATTCCATCAGCTGCCACTGAGTAGCACTTGCAGGAACTGGGCAAAAGGGATGTAATGAAGCTTTCCACATCATACGATTGACTTTTGCATAGCCTGGGTCTTCTACTCTGACTCTTTGACGGTACATATAAAGACTCCTCAAACAATGATGAAGTACAGAAGACAAAAACATGTGCAGGCTCTGAAGTCAACTTCTTCAAAAGATAAATAAATTTTTATGATATCTGGCATAGGTAAACACTTCACTTGATAAAATACAGACAGATACAGAAATAAAAGCCAAAAGAGGGGAACTCCACCTTACCATGCATGCATGGCTCAACAATGTACAATTCTACATAGATGAAGTGTACCTGAAATGACATTGTGAGATCTTCTACAATGTTGTGATCCTTTTGGTTTTCTTCATCTTCACCCTGGACACAGAGCCAATGTAGACTTGTTCTTGTCTGCTTTATCTTTTTCACAATTTCATTCCAGGTTCGACAGACTCTACAACACAAAAACTTGCATTGCCAGATTGCTATCATTTAGCAAGTTGGGACCAATCGCCCAAATGGGATATAATAGCCCGTATGGGATATAATATCCCAAATGGGATATAAATTTACAGTGCGAAAATTGATTTTTTTAAATTTTGGCTTTAAATATCATAAATTCACATCAAGATATTTATAAAGGAATAACTTTTGGTTAACAAGTATTTCTGTATGCCCACTGTTTAGGAGATTAATCCCTTGGAAGTTCATAAACTCCTTGGGATCAATCTAACAAAATGTAGGGTTGCAGAAAAACTTGCTTGCTGAAAGTTATTAGGCTCTACTTTTTAATAATTTTGATGCGGATTCATGATATTTAAAGCCTCCTCCCCCCCCCCCCCCCCCCCCCCCCAAAAAAAAAAAATTCCACTGTATATGTAGTTGTGTGGAATATCCGGTATATTTAATAAATAAATGTTTTAAATTAAATGTAAATAAATTAAACTATCATAATAGATAAACATAAAATGTTGGATCCACCCCTTTATTTCCCTAGCCCTACCTGTAAACTTGTACAATTAGTTACCTTAGGGCAGGTCAGAGGTTTTGGTGTTTTATTGGTTTTCATTGATAGTTTGTTTTAAGAAGTTGGATCTTATTGGTTTTATTCTTTTGGTCATTGGTTTTACCACCAAAATATACATTCTTTGTCTTGTTGAGTTATTGCCAAGACTTCATTTTATGGACTCTAATGACTTACACTTGGAGACTGACTTTTTTCCACTTTTTGGTAAGTACTAACTTTTCTTTATTGCTAATAGTTAATTAACTTGTCCAGTCTGTAAATATGCAATTATAATAAATCCCATTTACACTTTATATTAATGGAATGAATGACCATGAGAGAAAGGTATTTATTTTTATGATTGGAATTATTGATTTTGAAGATCAGTAATGTTATATATTGAAAGTGTAAATTGTTATGTTCAGTTACACTATATATTTTTATGACCCAGATATTTGGTTACTTTGTTCAAAGTGAACAGATGAGTTTATCTTAGTGGAATATATATTTTAATGTATACTGTATTAAATTACAGAGTCCATATACATGTTATGACATCATACATTCATGTGGTAAAGCCTTTTCCCACAGAATGGTAAGGAACTATTTGTTTTAATTAGTAATATTTTTTTATGCCTTTATATGGGAGAAAATATGTAATGTCTATGTATCAGTTGTCAGAGTTATCTCCCTTAATTGAGAGTAAATGTACATATATGCATCTTTTCTATAATATATCATTATCAATATGTTATCTATGAGAGCTAGATGTATGTATAAATGATGCATTAATAGGATTGATTTGATGTAATATAATACTGTTGTTTCATTATATTTCAGGGCTATGCTAATATTACATATTGCTCACTGTGTCAATAAAATTAGACCTGAACCCTGACAGAGGCGTGCTTGTTTATTCATAACAAACCCCTGTTACAGTAAATTTTTATTCCATTTGGGATATGATATCCCACTAATCCAGACGGGTTATTATATCCCATTTTGGCGATTGGTCCCAATTAACCAGGTCCAGTACAATCAGTACATTAAGCTACGTAGCTAAAATTACCTACCGTAGCTTTATTTACCTACCTCAGGTAGCTTTATTTAGCTATTTCAAGACAATTTTGCTTTTTATTTTAAAAAGACAAAAAGTCGCAAATAAATTACTACTAATATTTATACTAGGAATTATTTAAAAAGCAATCCAATGCAGAGATAGATTTAACAATGCTGCGTTTGAACACCTTTCAGGAAAAGATGTATTTCCATTGTTTAAGTAACTGTACACCACCTTGTGTGCGATGAAGCATGGATAAGTATGATTGCTACTCATTGTGCTCATGTTAACCATAACGGGTCTTCTTTGTTATTTCATTCAAGAAGTAACCGTTTGGTCACAAATTAACTGTTGTGTATAGCCCCAAAACATGCAGAACTTTGATTGAAACTGCGCAGAAAAAGACAGATCTCCAAGACTGATTTTTTCATGAATTGTTTTCAGATGAGCTTAAAGTGACAGTACGGCGCATCTCATCAAAAAACTGACTAGATAAAATTTTCCGACAAGATTTGGAATTTTTTTAGTACTCATAAATGTATAAACTTTCAGAAAATTACAACTTTTACAATTGAATAATTTAGATTATTTCATTAAAATTAATAGTTATTTATGGGACGTAAATACATACATCGCAACGTGTTCGGGGTTCCACATTCCATGCTATGAACGCATGTGTAGTTTTCATAAACAAAACAGCATGGTTAGAGAGGGAAGTCCGGTAGGCCTGCTACATTGACAAAGTCGACCAAAAAGAAAAAGAAACTGAAAATAGAACTTGAAAAAGCAACTTTCCTGACTAAAATTTAGTTTGGGAATTAATATAATCGAAGGATAAGGAACTGAGAAACGGGAACTCGGCAACACTCATGCAGGGCTCTCGAAGGTTCTATTCGACAGGTTTGTTGATACTTGTTATCATTTCTCATTTTTCCATCGCTTTCAAAGAAAAAAAATAGTGTAAACTCAACATAAAAATACACCTTTGACTTCTAAACATTGTTGCCATTTGAAATGCTAATTTTTTTTAACTGTGCAGAAAAATATTTTGTTTGACATTTGCCGCGATAACGTATGATTAGTTGGTTTTTCCTTTCTCGGACCCCAATACACAAAACGTCAACATTTGTACTTTTAATTCTGTTAAATTCGCCTAAATGCAGACTAAAATCTTTACGATTATTATTTTAGATTATTTTATCAGAAAGTTATGATAATTTGTTTTTGAAAATTGCTTTTACCTAATATTCATTATAATTGTAAACTCTACAGTGTACAGTCTAGACGAACTCCAAAAACAGCGTTTCCGGAAGTAAGAAATTGAGACTGAAAAAGACTCCGAAAATAGAGTCCACGCATGCGCACACACACAAAAAATGGCAATTTTTCGGCAAAAATGATGGGTCTACAAAAACTGTCCATGCAAAGTTTTGAAAAGTATGGCAATTATGCCAGTACTCAGAAATGCTAAATAAAAGACTTCGGAAGAGATCGTATTTGTCAGATTTTTGATCTTATTTGCAATAAAGTAGATATTTACTTTCAAAGTTAACGTTTCAAGTCAGATCAATTACAGAGAAAATGATACATTTTGAGAAGGAAATATGCATAATAAAAGGGATATATATGCAAAATGGGACATAAATATTGTAACTGTAAAAAACGTGACTGAATTTTACACATAAATTAGCATTCCGTTTTTTTTATTTGTGTACGACATCGGAATTGAACGCGTAAGTTATTACCATTGTTATTTACCGATTTTTTATCACATACGAACAGATATTACAATGTATTATGAAAACATTTTTAAAACTATTATCTATTAATATGAAAACTTTAAAAACCACTCTTCTAAATATTAAGGGCACAACATGTCTTCTAAAAATGAACCTGTTAATATCTCTGCTCTGTGGTGGAAAAATGCGCATTTTCTGATTAAAATAAATATACAAGCTGGGTGTCTTCAAAAACAAATAAAAGCACCTTTATTTTTGGAACGACATAAAATTTAAATCAAGGAGACAATAAATTAAATAAGAAAATATTTCTTACTGGCAGTATTGAATTCGATGTCATATATCCAATTCACTATTATGCAAGAGTTTGAAGCAATAAATAAGTCAATATCCACAAAATAATTTAATAAATGCAATTATCCATTCAATAAAAAATAAAATGAAATAACAATGCACTAAATACAGCCATTATGCTGCCATATATTTGGAGAAACGAACGACAATCCATCGTTTGTTTACATCGGACGCCATTTTGCCGCAATGCATGATGGAGCCAAAGACTTCGTTTTCGGAGTTCACGCTGTTTTTGGAGTTCGTCTAGACTGGTGTAGGCACGTGCCGTTTTAGAATTCACGTTGTACAAATAAACAGATCTAAGATTGCTGCAGTTCGTACGACCCTTGATTTTCCGGCAGATTCTAATTACGTTAATTTTGTTTGAGTAGAGAATATTTCTGTTTCTCAAACTGCTTACATCAACTTTATACCTTATTTCTTAAAGACATATTGGGTAAATCTGAATGAAAAAGCACACATTTTGCAGCCGTACTGTCGCTTTAAAGTTGAAAATTATCACTGCACCAAAGTGCAATTTTCTGCACATCCTGAGAAAAATGCTAATTTAAGAAAAAAGTTTGATTCAGTAGGTAAATAAAGCTATGTAGGTAATTCAAGCTTCGTAGCTAAATCTTGTGATTGTACCAGACCTGACAATAATAAATATTTAAGCCTCTGCTGTCAAAGACCCCTGTTTCCTCGGAAGTACTAAGTAAAACAAGACTTACCTTGCACAGGCGTGCAGTGACTTCATCGGAAGAGTTTCCAGTATTTTGTTAATTATGACAGGGATTCTTTGTAACACTGTCGCGGGGCAAACATTTTCAACCTCGGTGCTCCGGACATTTATGTTCTCCATCTTTGTTTACGGTCTTATTGATCACGTGACCTTGCAAGCTAAGTCGTTCTTGAAAGAGTCTGTTTTATTCATTGTTAAAATTCTAATTGACATAAAATTATTTTGTTGAGGTGACAGGGGACAATTTTTTGGGAAAAAGAACAAAAAAAAAAAAAAAAAAAAAAACAACAAACAAACAAACAAACAAACAAACAAACAAACAAATCAAAAAAGAAAAAAAAATCCCAAAACAAAAAAGCAGGGAAAAAAAAAACAAAAACAAAAAACAACCAAAAAAAAAAAAAAAAACAACAAAAAACAAAAATAAAAACAAAAAAAAAAAAAACAACAAAAAAAAAAAAAAACAAAAAAACAAAAAAACAAAAAACAAAACAAAAACAAACAAAACAAAAACAAAACAACCCAAAATAAATAAATAAATAAAAGAAAAACATGTACCGGTGTTGTAGAGTAGAATTTCTACCATAGCCAGTTTTCCCACCGGAGGAAAATCCCCCACTAGAGCCAAACTCCCCCTTTCTTTCTCAGAGTAGGATGTCCCCCCCCCCCCCATTCATCAATGTTTTAATCATTTCGACAATATTGTGGCAAAACGTTTTATGAAAGTCATCTGATTTTTTATTGGAAATATGAGTGTTTTCGACTCAATAATTGTCGAATTTGTAAAAAAAAAAAAAAAAAAAAAGAAATCGTACATTCGATGATGTCTCAACACCCTCTCTCGGCGCTATGGTACCTGTTTGTTCACGAATTTTAAAATGATTTGATCATTCGCTTGTCCTCTAAAGGCCCAGTATTTCATCCATAGATCGATCTTTTTACAGAGAGTGTATGAGAAAATTCTAAATTTATTTTATTGAAGGCCGGGTTCCACATGCCATTTTGTGAGTATTTGAATCGAGTAGGTCTTCAAAAAGCCAAAACCATAAACACAACAATACAAGAAACACTGCTTTTGCAAGACATATTAAGCATAAGTATGTCCCCTCGACCCCAGCGATGTAATATTGGATTTGAAAGCAGTGAGCAAATACTCTCTAAAAGTTTTGCAAAATTTCAAATTTTTAGAAATAAATAACCCATTTTTAGTTTCAAACAATATTTAAAACACCAGAATATCGGAGAGACACTTATGTACACGTACATGTAGTTTGAAATAGAATTGGAGAAAATCCATTTAAAATAAAATTCCTTTTTGTTTCTTATAAAGTTAAACTTTGTCAACCGATTACAATGTGTCAACCCCTCCCCCCCCCCCCCTCATTTATAAGTACAGCCATATTTCATGGAGGGGGGGATTGGCTCTAGGGGAAATCGCACTCTATAACTATTACAAAGAGTAGGATTTCCCCCCGGAAAATTGAAACTGGTGTGGGATTTTTGTAGGGGAAATCATGCTCTAAGAGTCATTTTGCCGTGGGCACCGTGTGTATCCCAACTTACGAGGTGTATGCTATGTTGTCGAAGCGATAGAAAGGGGGTCGAGGTATGTTTTTTGTCCAATTTCTCAATTTATGGATACATGTATATATTTCACCGGAAAGCATAATTATGGTTACGGAAGAAAGCATTATTTTAAGAGTGTATGGATACCTTTGAATCCATTGTATACTTTCTAGTTTCATCAAACACCTCAACACAATTCCGAGGATCAGAGCAAGATTGACGCAACACTGTGTTTATGATCAAACATCGTAACAAAGCTTTGCTTTATCATCAATTTTATATTAATGTTAATTAAGCACAGTCGTGTCACGTGTCACAGAGGTCATCGGAAGTGTTTTTCTGTGCTCTGTGATTTTTGACAAATTTCTGGGGATTTATAACCAAAAACTGTAATTCTTCAGGATGAAAATCATCTTGTCAGCTGCATGTATGTATATAGAAACTTTTGTGAATTTTTTGTGAGTTTTGACTTCGATTCTAAATCTTTTTTTCTCTCTCTTCGGATCTGAGTAACTGCTCAGTAGCTTATACCTGTGTTCGCTGTGTTCGGTTGAATACTCTTCACCGAGAGATAACTCTAACGGTTCTAACAGTTCTATTGATAGCATAAACAATAACAATGGAAGTGTTAAAACCTGTATTTGAGATTCGAAAAATCAGTATGAAGGTTTATGATATAAACCCCTTTTCTGCGGGTATCTCTAGCCCAAATGAGGATGTTATGAAAATAACGGTCAAGGGTGTCGACGATGATAAAGTGATGAAAATGCTTCAAAAATTCAAACCTAGCTTTACTAGTGAGCTCAAAAATGAGAAAATCCGTCACCCGGAAACTCATAAGATGACAGGAATTCTAAATGGCAATAGATTTATTTATGTGAAAGCTCTGCAGGCCAGGAATTTTCTCCCACGGACTAGCATATGCGCAGGCCTAAAATGTTTCATTTATCATTATGGACAGCCCTCAAATAAACGCACCCCTTTTTGTACCCAGTGCTGGGAAGACTCACATTTCAAAAAAGATTGTCCTAACAATCCAAGATGCAAAGTATGCAAGGTAGAAGGGCATAAGCCAGGAGACCCAGAATGTGAGCACTTTACAGAACCAAATGCTGATGTTGTTCCATTCTCTGGAGAAGCAAACTGTCTATTAAATTTCTACCCTTTGGTTTTGAACACAAATCAGCCAAACATGCATATCAATATGTAAAAGCAATGAGAAGCGGCGACATTACACGAGCATCAGCTATCCAATCGGCAAAATCGGCTCTAGAAGCGAAGAGAATCGGCAATATGGTCACTCCTTCTCCTAGCTTTGTTACCAATCAAGTGTCCTTGATGACTGAGATAACTGAAGCCAAAGCTGCTCAGGTTCCAACCTTTGCCGACACGCTAAAAAGCTCAAAAAATTCTACTGTGTTCGTAGAAACGACGTATGACAATTTTTGGCTATCTGGACTTGACGCAAAACAGACAAGTCAGACTCGCTCCAAGTCGTGGCCTGGAAAAAACAACCTGGGTGTGATTATTGGAGAAGTGGCTTCACGTGTACGCTCTAGACCATCTGCAAGATCTGTGTCTACATCCAGAATGCGGGGCAAAGACTCGACACAAATGGACGTTTCAGAGATGATTAAAGATCTAAAAAAAAAAAACACTAGGAAACCTAGCAACTCAAGTAGAAAAGCACAAAAGTCGACACGTGACGATGGATAGACCAAAGTTCTATTTCCAGATACCCAAGGTATTCTTGGTTTATAGTAAACAAGTTATGTTATGTACTTGTAATCTAATCAAACTTATAGAAATATAGAGATATACTTATATAATAAGAATTACTTAAAATGGATACAATGAAATTCATTTCTGTTAATGCTCGAGGCTTGAATTCAAAAGAAAAAAGAGAAAAAACTTTATACCTGGATATTAGATACAAATATAGATATATGTTTTATCCAAGAAACGCATTACATTGAGAAAAATGAATTTCAATATGATTGTAAATGGCCTGGAAAATCTGTTCATGCTTTCTCAGATTCAAATTATAGTAGAGGTGTTTCTATTTTATTGAAAAAAAAAATTAAATGCTGAAATACTTGATACGCATAAGTCTAATGATGGCAGAAAACTGGTTTTTAACATCAATATTAATGATAAAACTTTTACTTTGGTCAATGTTTATGCACCAAACAAAGAATCAAATAGAATAGATTTTTTTAAAAGGTTGAAAACATTTATTAATATTAATGCACTTAATCAATCACATATTATTTTATGTGGGGACTTTAATTGTAATATTAATAACACAAATGATAGGAGTGCTAAAATCCTAAAAGACTGTGTAAATATCTTAAATATTAAAGATCTATGGTTTGATAAATATAAAAACCTAAATGGTTTTACATGGTGTGACGCTTCTGATACTCCCAAAAGTAGAATAGACTTTGTCTTTGTAAGTGATGAACTACTAAATCAATTTAAAAATATATCAATTAGAAAGATTCCAGGAATGCACAGCAATGGAATAAGAATGTCTGATCACAGAATGTTGAAATTTGAATATAAAATGGTTGAAAATAATCGGGGGAAAAATGAATACCTCTATTTTAAGCGAGGATGATTATAAGAAAAGTATTATTCAGCTAATACGAAATACTGAAAAGCTAGATAAACCATATCTGGTCAAAAATCTTTCAATTAATTTCTCCATTAAACGGCAAAAAACTTTTAAACAAAACATAATGGATATAGAAAAAGAAATTTCTGAAATTGAAAATTGACCACATTATTTAATAAATATGAATAGGAAACGAGAATTAGAAACTGAATTAAGCAACCTTTATGATAAAAGGACAAAAGGGGCACAGATTCGATCACGTGCCAAATGGGTTCAAGAAGGTGAAAAGAATACAAAATATTTTCTAGGTCTCGGAAAAAAAAAACAAAACCAAACATCAGATTCATAACGTTATTAATGAAATTGAAACTGATCAAAAAGAAGTACTTTCTACAAACTGTGATATTTTAGGGGAAATGTGTAACCTTTATGAAAAACTATATAGCTCAAAATTAATACCCGAAAACAATAGAAACTCATATCTAAACGAATGTAATATAGAACCCTTAACTGAAAATGATAAAAATGCATGCGATATGTTTCCTACTCTTGAAGAATGTAAAGAGGCAGTTATAAATTTAAAGACTAACAAATCCCCAGGATTAGATGGAATACCAAACGAATTTTATCAATGCTTTTGGAAACATTTATCTCCACTATTTTATGGTATGTTAAAAGGAATATTCCAAAACAACGAGATGAGCTTCTCGCAGAAACTTTCTGTTGTATATCATTGATACATAAAAAAGGAAGTAAATCCTTATTGAAAAATTATAGACCGATTAGTCTAACAAACACTGACTATAAAATAATTGCTTTTATTTTTGCTAGACGCTTACAAAAGATAATTGAAAATCGCATAGGAGACGAGCAAACCGCGTATATTAAAGGAAGATTCATAGGAATAAATGCCTGGTTAATCCTCGACATTTTTGACTACTG